TGAACACTGAGCTGACCCTGGTGGCAAACACCTGTAATCTTAGTATTTGGAAAGCTGGGGCAGGAGGATAATTGAGTTTGAGGCTAACCTTGGCTACTTAGTTTGCTCCAGAATAGCCAAGCACTATAAAAAGTTCCTATCTCTCCTCAAGCCCAAAGATACCAAAATACAATGAAACAGTAATAATTCTTCTTTTTTTTTTTGAGACAGGGTTTCTCTGTGTGGCTCTGGCTGTCCTGGAACTCACTCTGTAGGTCAGGCTGGCCTTGAACTCAGAAATCCGCCTGTCTCTGCCTCCCAAGTGCTGGGATTAAAGGCATGCGCCACCACTGCCCAGAGAGATCTTTTAAAAATATCAAGAAAACCAGTAAGATAGCAAGATGCCTCAGTGGCTAAGACACTTAAGGAGCAGGCCGGATAACCTGAGTTTATTCTCTAGAACCCATATCAAGGTTGAAGGAGAAAAACAACTCTTTCCATAAAGTTGTTCTCTGACCTTTCTTTTTAAATTGGTTATTTTATTTATTTACATTTCAAATGTTATTTCCCTTCCCAGTTTCCCCTCTGAAAACCCCCTATCCCAACCCCCTCCCCTGCCTCTATGAGAGAGCTCACTCACCCACCCACCTACCCACTCCCACCTCACTACCCTAGCATTCCCCTACACTGGGGCATAGAGTCTCCACAGGACCTAGGGCCTCCCCTCCCATTGATGCCAGATAAGGCCATCCTCTGCTACGTAGGCAACTGGAGCCATGGGTCCCTCCATGTGTACTTTTTGGTTGGTGGTTTAGTTCCTGGGAGTTCTCGGTAGTCTAGTGAGTTGATATTGTTCTTCCTATGGGGTTGTAAACCCCTTCAGCTCCTTCAGTCCTTCCCTGAATATGCATACATGCCACACCACTTATGTGGAGGTCAAAGGGCAACTTTGGGGGGTATTTTCTCCTACCATTTAAGTGTCAGAGATTCAATTTAGATCCTCAGGCTTGGCAGTCCCCAGAACCCATGTAAAAAGCCAGGCACAGTGGGGGCATGCCTTTAACTGAGGTGATGGTGGAGAATAGGGTAGAGACAGAAAGATCTTTGAAGTTTTCTGGCCACCTAGTCTAGCCAAATCAGCAAGCCTTCATTTTACTGAAGCACCTTGTCTCAAAAAATAATGTTGGAGTATGATTAGGTAAAGATATCTGACACCAACCTCTGGCCTCCACACAAATTTATGCTTACAAGGATATATACCAAACACACACCAAATTAAAACAAACTGAAAGGCTTAGAGTCAAGAGTGAACCCTGCCCAGTCCATCTCAATCTGATGTGCCAGCAGGTCAAAGAAGCCTATCGCTCAATAATTTTCATACTCTGTAAATACATGAGCATAGACTAAAATCCTCCTTTGCTCCTCAAATGAAATCAAACTCTATTTTATGATTTATTTTTCTAAGTCTTTCTGTACTAGCACATCATATGTTTTCTGTCAGGGGCAGCCCTGTTTATACACTGAAGGCCTAAAAACAACCATAGGCCTAAAAATCAGTCTTAGGCCTGACATACATGCCTGCTAAACATAAAATCTTGGGTCTCTGTGGAAAAACACTGAAACAGATGACTAGAAGCTATTGTAAACAAGCAGCTTTGGTGGAAAATTGCCAAGCTGAATAGTTATAGGCCTTGTAGATAGGTAGCCTTGGTGGATAGTACCAACTTAGATAAGGACAAGTGAATCATAGGCAGAGTCATAGTGATCTGTCCCCTGAACCTTCACCCAGCTGACACTCTGTTCTGGAAGATATCTGTACTCCCCTGAACACCTATGCTCCTGCATCATCCCCTTCCCCACATCCTGCCTTTTTGTGTATATAACCCGTGTGAAAAAAGTAAAATCACCAGTTTTATCAGCCTATAGACAAGCCATGTTTCTTATGGCTCCCCTGTCCTCCAGCTCTCTCTTACAGGTCCCCCGGATCCTAGTTTACTGCCCCTCGGGTTGGGGCAGTTTTCCTTAGTAACAACTGTGTAGTTTTTCATTGAATGAGCATATTGTTATTTAACCCCCTTTGCTAATGATAGACATTTAAAAAAAAAAAAAAAGATTCCTTCAGGGAACCAGATCATTGTCTTTTGAAGCTTTCTCCTATAACAGATGAGAAGAGACCCACAACCATCCAGACATCATTACACACACACACACATACACACACACACACACAGAGAGAGAGAGAGAGAGAGAGAGAGAGAGAGAGAGAGAGAGGCTTTTTGTGTATATTATGGCTTTCAGCTTTGTATTTTAATGGGACTCTGTGGGTGTATGAATGAATGGGTCTCTGATTCTTGCGCCTTCTCTTGGGACATTTTTCCTTCTATTGGTTTGCCTTGTCCAACTTTGATGTGTTTTTCCCCTCTTATTACATTTTATTTTATGTTTTGTTATCTCTTAGAAGCCTGTTTTCTCTAATGAGAGACACAAAGTGAGCGAATTCAGATGAGAGAGGAAGTGGGGAGGAACTAGGAAGAGAGGAAACTGTAATCAGGATATATTGTTTGAGAAAAGAATCTATTTTTTATTTTTATTTTTTTAGGTTTTTCGAGACAGGGTTTCTCTGTGGAGTTCTGGCTGTCCTGGAACTCACTCTGTAGATCAGGCTGGCCTCGAACTCAGAAATCCGCCTGCCTCTGCCTCCCAAGTGCTGGGATTAAAGGCGTGCGCCACCACCGCCCGGCAAGAATCTATTTTTAATGAAAGGGAAATGTTTTTCTAAAAGAAGAATTAAAAAATAAAGAGGCTATTTTTCTTTAAAGTTTTTATTTGTAAGTTTCTATGTATGGGTGTGTAGGTACTCAAAGTTTCAGATGGGTCCCAGGAATCAAACTTGGGTCCTCTTCAAGAGCAATGTATACTCTTAAGCACTGAGCCATCTCTCCAGTCCCCAAGGACATCTTAGTTTGTTTCTAGTTTCTTGGTGTCTCTAAATACTTCCATACTTCTGATTCCCACACTATTTCCATGTTTGTCACAAAGTGACCTTATCTTTTTCAGAGGAAGAGACCTCTCTGTACCCCTTTCTATTTACACAAGTCTTTCTAACAAATAATCCTTAGTGTTTCTAACCCTTCCTATATTGTATCCCCCTCCAGGTCTATGTAACCATACTTAATAATTGCCTTCCATCTTGACTTCCTCTCACAACTTCTGATCCTCCTACCTTTACATCCGAGAGCTAGGATTATGGTCATGTGGCATCACAGTTTATTTATTTGGTGCTGGAGACTGAACCCAAGGCTTGTCTTTTCTAGGCAATCACTCTATCAAATAAACTCCAATCCTAACTAGATTGTTTTCTTTTTGAGGCATGTTCTAATTCTAGCTCCAGCTGGCCTTAAACTCAAGGTGTGAGTGAGCAAGGCTCTTAAAAGTTCCCTTCTTCTCTTCAGGGGATGGTGCTTAGAGGCACTCAGCATGGTCCAGCATTTGACATACAATACAGCCTCTAACAAAACTAGGCTCAAACCCCTGGCAACAGGATTGTTTACCTTTACACCAAGAAGGTTGGGAAAGCAACTAAATCTGCATGTGGAGTGTGCCCAGGCAGACTGCAAGGGGTTCGTGCTGTGAGACCCAAAGTCCTTATGAGATTGTTTAAGACAAAGCAGCCCGTCAGCAGGGCCTATGGTGGTTCCCTGTGTGCCAAGTGTGCCCGCAACAGGATCAAGCAGGCTTTCCTTACTGAGGAGCAGGAAATTGTTGTACAAGTGTTGAAGATACAAGCACAGAGTCAGAAAGAAAAATAAATATGCAGCTTTTTTTAAGTAATAAAAATCAAGACTTGGTCTAAAAAAAAAAAAGTCCCCTTCTTGGTTGAGACAACACACTTTTCGGGTTTTTTGTTTTTGACAGTACCTAATCTTGGTTTTCACCAAGAATCTGTCTTCATCTTATCCTATCTATGCTTCCCAAGTGATGTCTACTGTCTACGTTGCGTAAATCCTAAACTTTATACATGCACATATGTTAAACTCACCTGCTTCTGACTGAAACTGAAGAGTCACTTCTCAGTGACTAGAAACTCCAAAGTCAGAAACACAGGTTCCACTCTCCTTACTTCCCATTACCAGTCACTAAGACAAAAGTCTTATTTCATGCCTACTACCAGTGACTCAGTTATGGTTTAGGCCTGAATCATCTACCATCTGGCTCCCTTTCTCTCTATCCAAAATCATAGAGAATGATTGCTCTAAAATAACCATTTGATCTTAAAGCTGGAAATTTTTCTTTTGAGACAGGGTTTCTCTGTGTAGTTCTGGCTGTCCTGGAACTCACTCTGTAGACCAGGCTGGCCTCGAACTCAGAAATCCACCTGCCTCTGCCTCCCAAGTGCTGGGATTAAAGGTGTGCGCCACCACTGCCCGGCCAAAGACCACATTTTAATACACTGATATTTACAAGTCTCTCATTCAGATCTTCAGATCCTTGCAATCAGAAACTAAATGTTCTCTATTAGTTTTTAATTTATTTGTTTTGTTTTTTTTTTCAGGGCTGGATTTCTCTGTCCTGGAACTTCCTCTGTAGTCCAGGCTGGCCTTGAATCAAAGGCACTGCCATTACACCCAGCTATATCTTACACTGGTTTATAAAAATAAGTGGTATAATCAAAAGAGGCCATGAATTTGAGAGAAGGGGGATTGGAAAGGGTTGGAGGGAGAAGATGGAGAGAAGAAATGATGTAATTATATTGTAATGAAAAATAAAAGTAAATTAAATATGGGCAATATAAAAATGAATATCATGTACCTGTTTAATCTCCCAAGTCACAATTCTAGAAACCTATTTTAGCTCTCCTTTTGAGTCTCAAGTGCCCACTGGTTCTGAAGTCCTGTTGATTTCTGAAGATCTCTCAACGCCACTCCCCTTTTCCCCATTCCAATGGCACCATCGAACTTTAGGTTCCACCCCCCTTAGCTTCAACTACATTTGTTCTTCACTCAAAATCATTTTCCATTCTATTGCTATTAAATTAATGTTTTATTACAAAAAATAAAACACATTATAAAATTGAGATACAGAAATAACAGCATAACACTTATCTACTGTATATAAACCAAATAAACCACCTCCTCTTCATTCTCATCCCTCAGAGGTTATCACTAACCCTTTAATGTATATTCTTTCATATCTTTTCCTTTGCACATAGAAGTATATACAAACATATCATATATACTCAATTTTTGACTCTTACACAAATTGTATCATACATGTCTATTATTTGACTCAATTTCGATCCTCATTCAACATTCTGAAAATTTCTTAAAACAAATCTAATACACTCCTCAACTTTATTTTCTTAAACATAACATTTACTCACTAGTATGAAATGCAAATCTCTTTTTCTCTATTTCTCTATTTCTCTCTTTTGGTTTTCTGAGACAGGGTTTCTCTGTTTTACAGCCCTGGTTGTTGTCCTGGAACTCACTCTGTAGACCAGGCTGGCCTCAAACTCAATTCATCTGCCTCTGCCTCCTGAGTGCTGGGATTAAAGGTGTGTGCCACCATGCCTAGCTCATGCAAAGCTCTTGAAGATATGCTTCCTGTCTGTCTTTCAGTGTCATGTCTAGTCACTCCAGTATCCTTTCCTTTCTGAAACAAGGCAGGTACAAACAAGGAATACATTCTGTCATATCTAGACTGGGAACTTTTCCTTCATGTTAACACTCTGCCTCAACTTTTTGAGATGGTACTCTATAGCTTCTCAACAATCAGCTTTCAGGTGGCCTCTGGAAGACTTCTCTGCTTTTCCATATATGACTTCTTCTAATTTTTTCTTTGTACTTTCCAGCTAGCTTCTTAATTGTACTTAGAGTTCTATGATTTATTAACATTGTCTGAATTCCAGTTTCACTGCCCCAACTTGATGGCAAGCTCTTATTTGTAACCTTTGCACTCCAAAGATCTGATAAACATGAACCAGATACACAGTGACATATCTGTTGGGATTTTGTGACTTTAAGAACATCTACTGAGTAGCTACTTTGCATAAAACCATATCCTAAGCATAAAACAAAACAAATGATAGTCTTTGCCGTAAGGAAGTAAGCACTTCAAGGGTGGGAGAAAGCACATTTACATGTTCACCTATCATTTGGATACAGAGACTGTCTCAGAGACTTATAGCTCCATCCCTGTAACATGGCATTGCTTATCTAAGTAAGTCATACATGAACAACCAGTTTGTCTAACAGGATTATATTTTAAGTGTGGCACAGAGCCAGCCAGGACCTAATTCTCTAATCCAGCAGAGGGGTTTTCATCTGTTCCAGTCTGCCAATTAGAAAGTAAAATGGAGGCATGTTTATACAAGAGCAATAAATGCCATTAAAGGAGTGTAATGAGGAAGCGTGAGTCTGCTCTCTCTTCTTGGTACTGGTTAGGGAAAAGAACTTGCTACTATATGATCTAGAGAAATAATTACTATTTTACTTACTACTAAAACTAAGGTGTTAATTTAGTACTATCCTTATTAGCTACTATACACACATAAACGAGCTGGGGGAAAGGTAATAGACCTAGGCTGACTGAAGAGGCTTAAAGGAAGCCTCATTCATCAGAGTCCAAGTCAGTCTCTCCAGCAATGGAGTGGAAATCCTCACTGTCCTCTTCGTCTTCTGAGAGTTGGACCTGGCTTAGTACACTGGGTCCAGAGCGCTGCTCTTCCTCATCTTCTTCCTCCTCTGATACCTCATACCCACCGATGCTGCTGAAGCTTGTATCCTGAGTATTTGACTTGGGATCAGGCTCCTCATAGCTCCCATAACTGAGAAGAGAAACAACATCTCTCAAACTTGGGCACCAGCCCCTAGCTGATCATTTGCATGCTTTGTACTATCAAGAGATCAGCCCATCTCGCCTCTCCTGGACACTAACAGGCTCACTGTTTCATATGTCCCTAAGAAAAACGATCCCATTCAAAAACTTGTCAACTTCATATACATGAGAACCTGAAACTTACCAACACTCACTACTGGATAACATGACTACACATGCTCTCAAGCCCCACTCTTTCATTGGATTTAGTTTCACTCATCTATGTATCCAAAATTAGTCAGTAGTTCTGAATAATTTCTCTAACATTTTGTGCTTCTATTACCTCCTTTCTATTCCTGTCTGCTGTCACTTAGTCCTGTGTTAGCATGCCTGGCCTGCACTACTGAAATAAGTCTTCTGGGCTCTAGGATTGAGCACCTTCCATTAATTCATATTTCTGCCAAGTATGTTCTATTTTCTGTTTACTCTTTTGTTTTTTTTGTTTTGTTTTTTTGGTTTTTTTTTTGAGACAGGGTTTCTCTGTATAGCCCTGGCTGTCCTGGAACTCACTCTGTAAAACAGGCTGGCCTCGAACTCAGAAATCCTCCTGCCTCTGCCTCCCAAGTGCTGGGATTAAAGGCGTGCGCCACCACTGCCCGGCTTCTGTTTACTCTTATTTCACAAAAAAACCCACAAATGTACATCTACTGTTAAAAAAATTACAATATACACTAGAAAAAAAGGGGGGAGATCAGCAGTATCTTTACCATGCAGAGATATTCTAATATATGACTTATTTTCTATGCATTTTAGGTACTTAAATATTTTATATTTTAAAAAAATAAAATGCTTGCCAGGAGTAGTGGCACATTCCTTTGATCTCAACATTTGGGAGGTAGAGGCAGGAGGATCACCATGTTTCAGACTACATAGCAAGTTCCAGGATAGCCAGGATTACACAGAGAAACCTGTCTTAAAAGAAATAAGTTAATTAACTTAAAAATTAAAAAAGTAAGAGGTTTATTCCTCAGAAATATACCTTTTTGCCAGGCAGTGGTGGTGCACGCCTTTAATCCCAGCACTTGGGAGGCAGAGGCAGGCAGATTTCTGAGTTCAAGGCCAGCCTGGTCTACAGAGTGAGTTCCAGGACAGCCAGGGTTACACAGAGAAACCTTGTCTCAAAACAAAACAAAACAAAACAAAACAAAACAAAACAAAACAAAACA